CCTCACCCACAGCTGGGGCAAGATGTTCTACTAGAGGTCATATAGCAGTCTTCCAAAGCCTCCCAGGTTTCCTCCAATTCTCACTGGAGGTATAAGGACTTAACAGTTATTGTCCAGACTGCTGCTCACCAGAAGAGAGAAGGGATAAGTATTCAACTGGCACAGTCTGGAGAATTACATCTCTTTAATTATAACAGATTCTCCCAAACCTGGGTGGGAGGAGGGGAGGAATGTTTTCTGTGGTTTAAGAGATGCCCACCCAAGGCTTCTCTCGGGGTGTTTTAAGTCCAATAAGCAAAGAGACATAAATGTCAGACCTCCTGGGGTTTAGATAAACCAGTTGGGCCTACAAGTGGAGAGTGGGGACCCTGGGGCCGGGATGAAGAGGCAGGGGTCACCAGATTGGATTGGATTGGATATTGGGACTGGAGAGGCATAGTCTCCTGTTCTCTGTTTCCCCAAAGTTTGGGAGTCCATGGTCTTTGAGAACCTAGTGATGAGGGAAAGACGCTTCCTAGAACCTACAGATTTCTTGGAGAAGCATGCAGGCATTTCACAGACGGCATTGCAATGATGATCAACTGGACATTCCAAGTGTAACTGGCATTCAGTGGCACACCCCTCCTCTGTGGGAATCTTTGTGCAGTGTTTCAGTTTTGGCTTTGATAAAACTGAGAAAAAATACATGAGCAGTGAATCCCAGAAGAATTGTTGTTTTTGTTACTATTATCACCTCCTTCAAGGCCCCTGAACCCACTCCATTGATTTCTCTTCTTCCTCTCCCTGCCCAGCCATCTGGGTGGCCCTTTGGTTCCTGGAGTAAAGATCCAGCTCCCACCCCACCCCCAAAAATACCAGCCACCATAAAGTCACCCTCATAGAACTTAAGCTCACAAAACCTGAGTCCTGAAACCCAATTCTCAGAACAGTGTCACAAGAGATCTAGTCTCCCATTCTCGTTTTACAGGTTGGGAGGAACTGAGTCCCAGTGGAAAGAACCTGCCTTGTACCTCACTGCTCCACTCCTGCCTGAAATGGCCCTCAAAACCTACCTCTTCCCCAGAAATCTCTGTTACTAGTTATTTACCCACTACTCTCTTTTCAATCCTACTGATTTTAATTGTTTTAACCTAGTGGTTCCAAACTTCTCTTCATTAAACATGAATTTTCTGTCTCCTCCACATGCCCAAGGTTCTGAAATAGCCCAGCCCCCAAACAAAGGTTATATTTCAAGAGATAATTAATAGTCTTTTCCCAATGTGGTGCTTATCTTTGGAACTCCCAAGGAGAGAAACTCCTCGAAGTTCACGCTCGGCACCTCCACGCAGGCTCTGAATCCTGTAGAGCTTCTCACTACTAAGTGCCTTCCTGGAAAAAAAAAGCACCATGTAACCACCAGTCACCCCAACACACATTAAAAATATTGTGTTACTTGTAGCATCAGAAGACCCTCAACATCCAGGTTTTCTAGGGTATCTTGGGTCTAAAAAAAGATACTTTGATATATGCCAGCCCCTGGTTCCTCTCTGTTGTTTTCTACTCGTTCTTCATTTTGAAGCCCAACCCAAATGCCTACTACAAACTGAAAACTCACTTAAAGAATCGACTCTTTCTCTCCAGTTTTCTGCCACTGGTAGGATCGCCGTGCAGTTGCGGGTCAGCAACTGAAGAACCAACCACTTCATGATGTAGACTCTGGATTTCTGTTAAATTAGGCTTCCCTACCCCTCAGAGGCAGGTATCGGGGAGGAAGAAATTTTCCTCTGCCCTTCTAAGTTCTGGATGGTCTAAGAATTGAGTTGACATGAGACAAATTAACAGAAGAAAAACCAGTTCAACCATGTACTTATATACGAGTGTTCCACAAGAATATGAAGGGCCCGACGATAAGTTGGGCAGTCGAGATTTATATACCTTCTTGAACTAAAGAGAAAAGGGTAGTGGTTTAGGACTTCAAAGGTGAGGTAAGCAATTCACCTGGAGAAGGAAAGGCAAATGTTTTACAAATAAACGTTTGCTGGGCCATGCAGATGCAGTGGGGCACAGAGTGGACTCTTTTTGTTTGTTTGTTTTTGTTTGTTTGTTTGTTTGTTTGTTTTGTTTTGTTTGTGTTTTTTTATCCTCACCCGAGGACATTTTTCCATTTTTTGTTCAGGTAGAATGGGAGGGAGAGAGAAGAACAGAGAGAGAGAGAGAAACATCGATGTGAAAGGAACACATCGAGTGGCTGCCACCCGCACAACCGACCAGGGCCGGGGACAAACTGCAACCGAGGTACGCGCCCTTAGCGGGAACCGAACCCGGGTCTCTCAGGACCGCAGGCCGACGCTCCAACCGCTGAACCAAACTGGCCAGGGCCAGAGTGGACTCTTGATTGCTAGGCCCTGCTGAGTCTCTCTCACCACACCTGGAAGGTCAGTTGACACCAGTCTATACAATTCATAGCCCATGTGTGATGTGTCTTTGTGGCTGGCAGAAAGACAGTGGTGTCTGTATGTCCACGTGTTACTGACCTCTTTTGTGTTCTTCCACTAGTCTGTGCCAATTACCATCTTGCTAACACTGGCCAAGAAACTTCCCTTCTTTCCACCTCTCATAACCCAGGCTTGGCAAATGAAGATGGGAATGAGATATTATATTGAAGGGGAGCAGAACTTGTCACCCCAAAACATGCATCTTCAGCCTAAGGATTATTTTAGGCTGATCGTTTCGAAGAAACTGCAGATACAAGATAAGTTCTAAAAACCGATAAAAATGACCCTTTTGTAAGAAACATTTACATTTATGTGTAAGGGAAATCTCCATTTATAAAGATGTCCTCCTCTCTGTACTAGGAAGAGAAGTAGGACTTTAAATCTCTAGAAACTCTTTGTCAATGGAGAAGGCAGCAACTTAAAGCTGTATAACAGCTATACCCTTGTTTACTACGCCTTCCCTAGCAACCTCCCACACTGGCCTTTTCCTTTCCTGCAATATCTTTTGTCTTAAGCTGAAGGTGGCATTTAAGGTATAACGGCCTGTGAAATTTCAGGGAGCTACTCAGTTTTCCTGAGTCTCTCCCATGTATACAGGGGGTATATGTGTTATTAGACTTTTGCTTGTTCCTCTGTTAATCTGTCTTTTAATGTGGGGTGGGGTGGGAGGGAGTCTCAGCCAAGAACCTGATAGGGTAGAGAAAAAATTCTTTTTCTTCCCCGACAATATCAAGGATACCCAAGAGGATGGCCCTTCCCTGCTCCTTCCTTTGGGGATCCTTAACCTTTAGTTTTTCTCTACTTTTTTTTTTTTTTAGTCAGGAAGGAATTAACACTTCTCCAAAGAGCTCCAAGTGGCCTGACTGGTTTGGCTCATTGGTTAGACTGTTGGCCCTCGGACCAATGAGTCGAGGGTTTTATTTCGGTCAAGGGCACATAACTCGGTTGTGGTTCGTCCTCGGCCCTGATCGGGGTTGTGCAAGAGGCAGCCAGTCGATGTGTCTCTCTCACATCGATGTTTCTCTCTCTGTCTCTCTCTCTCTCTCTCCCTCCCTCCCACTCTATCTGAAGATAAATGGAAAAATATCCTCAGGTGAAGATAAAAAAAAAAAAAAGAAAAGAAAAAAAACAAAGAGCTCCAAGTCCTCTCTATCCCTGAAGGCCAAGACAAAGCCCCACCCGAAGGATGTTTACCTGAGCCCCTGAGCCATTTCTCTGAGATCGAAGGCAACAACCAGTGTCCTTTTAGGCCTTAATCCTTTTCCCAGCCTTGGTCTTTTCTTCATCACATCCAGGAGCTTTTCCTTGGGCTAGACAGTTGGTAAGTGTGATGAGCTGACCAATCCATCTAGGTGAGAACATCTGGTCCTCTGGGCTAGGAAGAGGAACAACCTGGACACGTAGTGAGTACTCTATAATCTTCTCATCCAGGGGAAGTTATATTTTAAAAATAATATTCAAGATATGGATGACAAATGGTAGAAATTCAGATACAATTTAGAAAAGCAATATGGACAGAAAGGCCTGCCTTGCATTACTTAAAATTTCAAGAAAACAGTAAAATTGCCCAGGTAAAACTGCCAGGAAGACAGAACTTACCTGGCAGGAATAGAAGGATACTGGGGATGGCAGACCGAGAAATAATTCTGAAAGGTCAGAGTACCAACCCTGAGGGCAGAAATAATTTCTCTAATGACAGGAGATGCCAGTTTCTCATCAGGAAGGTGCTTGTTCAATTGAACAGAGTAATATGGAGGCCAGGGTCTTAGATCTTGGTTGAGGAGTCTGGCTTTGCATATGTAAACAGCTCAGAGACTGCCATATGTTCACCAAATTCCTCTTTCTGTTGTTCAGGGGCAGACAGATAGACTATATTTCTTAGTCTCCTTTGCCAATATGTGGGATCATATGACTACATTATAGCAAATAGAATGTGGATAGAAATAATGGACTCCACTTGTAGGCCTGACCATTAAAGACCTTCTGCTTGAGCCTCCATGCTACCTTTCTTCTCTCATCTGCTGGCTGGATGCAGAGGCAGCCCTGGAAGATGGTAAAGCTATAGATGGATGGAGCCAGTGTCCCTGCATCATGGTACAGGTGGCTGTTTACTGACCATCCTCAGTGAAATGTATTGTGAATGAGAATAAACTTCTACTGTGTTAACCCCATGAGAGTTTTATAAATCTCTGTATTTCTGCTACAGCCATGGGCTTATTTAACTAATCCCTAGGTCTAACTGGAATAGCAGAGTTGGGTGCCTGTGCCCATAATGGGATGGGAACAGCTGTTGGGACATTGGGGATTGTAATAAGAGAAATGGAGTCACAGGGATAGAGTACAAAATAAATGCAGAGCCCTCGGGTTGGCATATCAGTTTATTTGGCAAAGACGAGCTTTCTCAAAATAGAGAGGTCAAGGAGAGAACAGAGGGGTCCTCACAGCTGGAGCCTGTGGGTATTGCAACAGGGAGCCAGACAGCAGTCTCCTTAGACCACATAGTTATCCTCCTGCCCACGCTACTAGTCAGCCGGTTTTAGGTTTTAGCAATGTTTTAAAGGGTTCTCTGGAAGAGAAAAGTTAAGTGGTGAAAAGTCAGTGAACCCTGGAGGACATCCATTCCCAAACTTAATAATACCCTTGGTCCCAGTTAACGGGAACAGACATTGTTTCTGTAAGATTGGAAATAGCCCACTTTTAAGCAAATTTTCCCAAGAGGTTTGTCAATGGCGCACGTAAGTGGAGACTACAAGGGGCTATTGAGAGGCCAGATGAAGGCAGCGATAACTGGGGCCTTGGACAGAGGAAGGATGAACAAACTGATGGATAGAGGTTTCAGGGGAGCTAAATGAGAGTGAAGAAGAGAGCAGAGGCCCCCATGTTGGTATTTTGGTTTATTCTGCAGTGAGTGGCAGCCTTGGTGTGGAAATCAAGGGCATTGCTTTATGCTGTCTCTTTGACCAGGATTTGGGTGACTGCACCCTTCTGTTCCAGGTCACATCTTCTGAATGGGACTGAGAAAAAGCATACCCAGGCCCAGCATTCCCTCCCCAAACAACTCACTCATTGTCCAAGCAGATGTTTCCACAGAAGGTCCAGCAGCATGTATGATTTATTCTTAAACATGTGTGTGACCTAGTGCACCTTTTCTCACAAAACATTACCGGAGGATGGACCCAACACTGCTCAACTTCTTTTACTTGAACTGAAATAGACGGTAGGAGTTGGCAGGGTCCATTCATTCACAATTTGAAGAAACCCTTCTCAAAATTAACAATCCCTAAACTCCGGAATCTGAGCTCCAAGCCGTAAAGCACATCTCTGCCTTTCAAGAAAATCCCTTCCTTGAATTCTAGCCAATGTCTTTTCACAAGAGACCATCCTTGCATGACATGGCTTCACTCTTCTCACGCGTGCCCCCCACAACACTGCAGGCCTCTGAGCCCTCTCCAGGCTCCCTAAAGACAGGACCCAGGATACCCTCACCATGTGTGGCACTACCTCACCAAATCTATTCTTATTTAACTTTAGATTTCAGGACTTAAAATATTCTATGGCTCCAATTTCCACACCTAATTGCAGAATGAAAAACTGAGCCGGGGGAGACTAGGAACCTACTTTTCCCCTTTTCTATTTTCTCTCTCTCTCTCTCCCTCTCTCTCTCTGTTTTCTTAAATAATTTTTATTTTTCAATTACAGTTAAAAATTTTTTTTATTTTTCAATTACAGTTGATGTATAATATTATATTAGTTTCAGGTGTGCAACCCAAATAATTAAGCATCTATATAACTCAAGTGATAATGCCAACAAATCTAGTACCCATCTGACACCGTACATAGTTATTACAATATTACTGACTATATTCCCTATGCTGTAATTTACATCCATATGACTATTCTGTGACTACCAATCTGTACTTCTTAATCTCTTTATATTTTCATTCAGCCCCCTAACCCCCCTGCCATCTGGCAACCATTAAAGTGTTCTCTGCATCTTGAGTCTGTTTCTGGTCTACTTGTTTATTTTTTTTAGATTCCACATATAAGTGAAGTCATGTGGTATTTGTCATTCTCTGTCTGACTTATATCACTGAACACAATACGCTCTGGGTCCATCCTGCTGATACCACCTAAGCATTCAGCCTCCCGAAATTCCATATATTTTACTGGCCCACAACCTTCCTTCTCGGTCCCTTCATTATCCCCAGTTTCTTTCCAGATGACCCCAAACTTTGACTCTCTAAGGACCCCCTATTTGTCTTGTCTATTTTTTCATGGTCTAAAAGATGTTTCCCCTCCAACTAAATGAATGTGTTAAAATATTATCCTTTTGGTATCCATCTCAGGCTCACTCAGATCAGGCACAGAGATTCTGAAAATATGGGCTTAGAGGGAAGCTGTGTGTGTGCTGGTGTTCCCTCTGCTCAAGGTGGTCTGACAGTGGAAAAGATCATTTCCTGTGAGCTATGAAATGTAGACAAAAGCTGCATTGCCTTTCCATATACCCAATATTGCTTTCAGATCTGAGAGAGGGAGCTTGCAGGGACACCAGATTGGGAACATCCAACCTAATCTTTCTTGGATGTCTCTGCTTTAAAAAGGATTCTGATCCTTTTAAGGGTGATTCTGGAAAATGGGCCCTGAGTCAGTTATGCCAGATATCACAGGCCTAAGCAGAACACCCTCCTTCGTTGCCACACTACCTACAGGAAGTTATCTTCCTGATACCTCCCAGCACAGGCAGAAGTATCACAACCCAACAGATGGACATGGTGAGTAGGAGAACCCAAGGCTTCATGATAGTCTCTGAGTGTGTTTGGGTTAAGTTCTGGCACAAGACAGGTCTTCTCCAGATGCTGCTAGAGGCAGAAGGAAATTAAGGAGAATAGGGTAGGAAAGAGAGAAAGTGTTTATAAATATTGTGTTATTATTTCTCCTACTTTTCCTTTTCACCCTCTGGCACCTAACAACATATCAAGCTAGCCATTGGTGTCCCCTGGCTTCTTCCCCATCTTGCATTACATACTGCTCCCTTTGCAAACGTATTTCTTTGAAAAATGCATTGCTATTTTTCTAATTAAAAAACAATAAACCTTCAGATTGTAAAATTTCTAAGACAAAAAAAAAATACAAAGAGGAAATGGATAAGCATTAGAAATTCCACTACCCCAGAGATAACCAGTATATGTGTATCCTTTAATGTTGTAGTTCTTGTTTTCATGAAGTTGGAATAGTAGAACACAAGGAGTGTCCTGATTTTTTAAATTTAAGAACATATGTAACCAGATGATATAATTTAGTCAAGACCTTAAAACAAAGAGTACCAGAGGGCTTCCAGAGTGAGTGAGGAGATGGATTACTCAGCAGAACTTGAGAAAAGATGATGGCCAATGGCTGGTCAAGGGACTCTTAAATCTTTCATCTACATAGATGGTGCAAATGACAGATGTAGGCACGTGAATCATTGACACATTGACTTTGAGGCAAATTGGATTTAGGTGACTTGTAGAGAGATAAAAGCAAGAGAAGATTGTGGAGAGAGAGAAAAATGAAAGAGAAACCCTTAAAATGTAAAATACCAGCTATTTAGGAGCTTCCACTCTTAGACACATATCTGCCCTGCAACCTACTCCATTCAGAACCTACATTCCTGCCAGCTTGACTTGGCATGGCTTGATGAAGGAAAGTTGCCAAGTTAAGGTGTTGAGGTTTCATTTACCATTGGGCAATATTTACATCAAAGGATACAACTTAATTGGTAAAGTTCCAGACCAAAAGAGGACTATCTTTGAGCACAGCTTTCTTCCAAAAATCTTATAAATGACTTGCAATTTTTGCATAGGAAAGCCAGTGGGCATAGGCAGGATGCCCAGTCCTTGAACGTGGCTCAGAGTGTTGTTCTGATGCTCTGAAGACATCAGCACAGAGCAAGACAAATGTACAAAGCAGATAGTCTGTTAACCACTTACAGGTGAGGATATGAGGTCTGAGGTAACTGGGTGAAGGTGGGCATGGATTGGGATTGACTCTGGATTTCTGGCACCTGCCTTTTGCACAAAGAAGGAGGAAAACTGGCACACAGTGACAGAAACACAATAATTCCAAAGTAATGGGTTATATAAAGCTGTTTATTGGCATTCAAAAATATCATTCTAGACCCGAATTGTCCAGAGCTTTGAGATCTGTTCACTTAAAAGGCCTCATGTTTAGTCTAGTGTTCTGAGTTTCCAACTTGCCCCTGAAGGGTATTCAGAATATGGGGATGCCCAATCCCCTTCTTTGCACAACTTAGGTATACTAAGTGATCCCAGAGAAGAGAAACATCATCATGCCCAGGCTAAGTATGATTCACATACAGAGTTCTGGGTGAATTTTTTGGCCATCCTGAGATAGAGTATAGAACAATGAAAAGGTCCCTAGATATCACAAAAACACAGAACTATTTCTCCCCACAAACTTCAGGGTCCCTGGGCTTTCCAGATAATGTTAAAGGAGAGAAAGTATTGAATTTCAAGTCAGGAATGCTGGTATCTTGCTTCATCTCTGCTCCTTTTACCTATGGGACCTCAGACAGGTCATATCACCTCTATCTCCATGTGTATTTGAACAACAGAGACAATGAGCCCCACCTCACAGGAATAATGTTGGCATCACCTGAGCAAAGAACCCATCCAAGAAAACCACAAATAAAAGCTTATGCCTCAAGACCCTTACCCCACCTACCTCTAGCGATCTCTAAGTTGAGTGTCTGCAGTAACTGGCTGACGGCTCTTTTATCTGGACTCTTCTTATTTGAGGAGGGGGAAGGGAGATTGTGTCCAGGAACAAGGAGCAGAAGAGCAGAAAAACAAAGGTCAAAGGCCTAGAACTTAATGATGATTTTTTGTTAGTGGCAGATCTTTACTTTCTGCCCAGGAACTGCATGTTGGCCATATAACCAACTGTTTCCTTCAATACTCACCAATCCAGAAGTACTGGATTTTCTTTGATGTGAGCAGTATCTCCTACTAAACTGGAAGGAACATTGTGTACTTGGGTTGCAGCTCTGGCCACCCTCAAAAGACCCCAGTCTAGAGTCTTTATCTAATGCATCTGAGTCTACCCATAGGTTGAGAGTGGAGGATGGGCAGTATATCTATGTTCCTTTGACTTGATGTGTGGGCTATTGAAGGTCTCACCCTCTTCTATATTGATTATCCTTTGCTAATTAAAGCATAACATCATCTCCCACAAAATGCCATGTGGCTTTTTATGTGGATAAAAAGAGACCAAATAGGAAGGACTTTAGAAAAGATAGATTTGGTTCAATAATATCAAAGAGGGGCATTATATTGGGCATACATATGCATGACTTGAGGCTCGCTAGGAAAAAAAGTCAAGTGAACAAGGGCCAGGGACTCCCAAGGAGCAGACCTCCTTCTCCCAAACCTTGTCCACAGGTGTGTTTTATACAGTGACAAGAGATATCCATATGTGAGAGATTTCCCTCAGGCTTTGTTGGGTGTCTTGAGCAGCAAGAAATATATGCCAGGATTCCAGAGACTTGGCTGAGGAGGGTGGACCAGTACAGAGACCAAAAGCAGTCTCTAGGTATTAAGTCAAGGAACTAGAGACTGCATTTTGTGCCAAACCTAAAATGATTGAATTATGAATTCCCTAGACATTGGTTTATATTGCAGAAAAATGATGTTTCGTGCAGGGCAATCACAGCCTCATGCTCTGTGTCTGGCCCAGAAGTTGGGGGTTCTTGTTGGTTAGTTTGAGGCACACAGACACAGATGAGACCAAGGAGGTTCCTCCCAGGATTCCTGCCACTCTTGGTTCTGGACCATGCAGACAGGCCTGCAGAAAGCCATGCAGAATTTAGAAAAATATCTCCTCATTTAAAATGCAGTGTCCTGAAAAAATTACAACTAAACTACAAAACAAACATCCTTCGGAACCGCCTGAAATCAAGTTGAATGGAAGTCCTACAAGTGCAAAATTAAAGAAGCCACGCTGAGATTGGTAGGAGGGGCGGTGGAGCAGACAGGCTGCTCCCACACCCACGTGTGGCGGATAAAAATCAGGAGGGATGCCTTGGCTGGGAAGGCCCTCCCTGAGGAGCAAGGGGTCCCCATCCCCCATCAGGCGCCCAGCTCAGGGTTCCAGTGCCAGGAAGAGAAGTCCCACTAAAAGCCAGTGGGAATTGAGGCTGACGAAGACTGAGGCTTCTGGAGCCCCAGGCGGCTCCTCTTAAAGGGCACAGACTTTCTTGGACCCGCTCCCTCTGGGCTCCAGAGTGGAGGGGAGGCAGCTGGAAAGGCACCAGAGACATACAAAGAAGAAATGAGTTGTTTGGCATCAGGGTGAGGGCTGGAGAGGCAGCTTTCTCCCAGACAGACGTGCTGGTGGAGGTTGTTGTTCCTTTGGTGGGCCCTTTCCCGACGAGGTCCGCAGAGGGGTACCACATCGGGGACTTCAGCAACCTGGCTTACACTGTTTGCCCCGCCCTGGTGATTCCTTTAGGTCCTACCCCACCCAACTTTTGGGCCCACCCAAGCTGTTTCCAGTGGCTTTACCATAGGATTGGTCTTTTTGGGCTCCTGCTTCAGATTTTCCCAAATTCTCACCAACAAGCAGCTTCTGGCCACAGCAAGCCCCATACCTCTCATTAAGTGGTCCCAGGCCCAGAACCAGAAGTAGCCAGCCTTGGTTCACAGCTTGGCTTTGCCTGGGCACCTCCAAGCCCAGCACAAGAAGCAGCCATCTGCAGATCACTTTGTAGCTTATGCCTGGTGGCCCCGGTTAGAGCACAGGCAATGGCTGACCCTGCCCCAGAGCCAGCACACTCAGTGGACAACTTTAGACCATGGCGAAGCACCACCACCCAACCACCTCCACAAGGGACACACTCGAGGAATGGACTCAGTGGGTACCAGAGCCCTGCTGAAGTAAGTCTTGCTCTATGTGGTGGGTCCCTGCACAGCTGATCATCCAAGGTAGTCAGAGGTCAGTGGTTAATGGGCACAGCCAGTCCTTGCAGCTGATCAGCCTGAGTAAATCCCTCCCACTGATGTGCCAACAGCAATCAAGACTCAATTACAACAGAAGGGTACAAAGTCCACACAAAGGGTGCAACTTGAGTGCCCAGTTGGGTGACCAGGAGGCTGTGCCACTGAACCCTACAGGACACCTACTACAACAGGCCTCCCTAGGAAGCCTAGGAGACAGCAACTCTACCTAATACATAAACAAACACAGGGAGGCACCAAAATGAGGAGACAAAGAAATATATCCCAAATGAAAGAACAGAACAAAATTCCAGAAAAAGAACTAAACAAAATGGAGATAAGCAATCTCACAGATGCAGAGTTCAAAACGTTGTTTATAAAGATACTCAATGAACTTAGCGAGAATTTCAAGGAACTTTGTGAGAATGTCAAGGAACTTAGTGAGGACCTCAAGAGCATAATAAAGGACCAGTCAGAAATGAAGGATGCACTAACTGAAATAAAAAATAATTTACAGAAAATCAATAGTAGAGTAGGTGAAGCCAAGAAGCAAACCATCAATTTGGAATATAAAGATGCAAAAAACACCCAATCAAAATAGCAAAAAGAAAAAAAGAGTTTTGTTTTTTTTTAAATGAGGATAGAATAAGGAGCCTGTGGGACAACTTCAAGCATACCAACATTTGCATCATAGGAGTGTCAGAAGGAGAAGAGAGAGAGAGCAAGAAATTGAAACCCTATTTAAAAAAATAATGACAGAAAACTTCCCTAACTTGGTGAAGGAAACAGACACACAAGTCCAGGA